GAATAAATGTGACGACCATGCTCTACTCGATGCTGCCGCATGAGCCAGTGGATGACGGAAGCGACGATGCCCATCTGGTCAAACAGGGAACAGAGAGGGTAGGCCAGCTTGCCCGGCTTCCTGTACACAATCAACAACGTATCGACGCTCGCAGATGTAACTTTCGGCGCCGCGACGTCCACTTTTAGCCAGGAGACAGTGTGTGGGTGTGGATAACAATTCGTCGCCGCGGTTACAGCGAGAAACTCCTCAAGCGATATCTCGGACCGTACAAGATCATTCGACGCTTCGGAGATCCCAACTACGAGGTTCTTTGCGACGGAACGCTGCCATCCACAAGACGCCAGCTATGACCCAAGGTGGTGGACGTCGTCCGTCTCAAGCCGTATTACGATCGATAGAGCTGCGGTCTGACTGAGAACAGTGACTTATGATTGTGCCATTCTTTTTTTTTTTGTATTTATTCTCTGCTACATATGGGCGACGCGTCTTTTAAAGGGGGGGGGGGGGGGGGGGGGGGGGGGAGTCATGCTGCGTACCTGGCCGAGTGGCAACGCACCAGTCTCGCACGCAGATGTCACAGGTTCGATACTTGAGGGCCCGGAACTTTTAATATTTGGTTGTAATAACAATTTCTACAACGTCCGAGAAGCATTTCGTTTAGAATGTTCGAAGGCCCAACATTCTAGTACGAATGTTTGCGAAACCCGTGCCTCTATAAAAAGCTCTCCGCGTGGCTCTACATAGCTTGTTCTTTGCCAACTCTCGATCCTTCTATTACGCCAACATCGACGCTCGCCTACGACGCCTGTTATTATTATTATTTTGTTTCAGAGCCAAATTCACACCATTAAACGTTATTTTTTCTGTTTATTGATTGTTCGTTTAATGCCACCTGCGACAATATGGTCTGAGGCCGACAGCCACCTGTGGTAGCACGTGTATGTCGGAGGTGAGTGTTACTTAGTCTAAAATACGTAGTTTAGCCAACTTAGCCCAGCACACTTAGAACGCAGGCGACCATCGGTGTTTAGTCATACTTAGTCCAACGTACTTAGTCGACAGTGGATCATTAGCAGCGGGTCAAAGTTAGTCGAGAGTACTTAGCCCACAGGCGACCGTTGGCTGCAAGTCATACTTAAACCAGCATATTTGGTCCGCAGGCGACCTTCGGCGATCCCTTGCGTCTCTCTCCGAAATGACAAAGCAAATGAACTCGCGGCAGTACATAGTGAATAATAACGTACCAAGAGACAGGGCGCAGTGGGCGTATGACGTCATAACTTTATAGAGCAGTCAATAGATAACATAAAACGCGCTACAATCCTCGTCCCCTGGCGATTACTTAATAATAATAATAATAATAAACTTTATTCAGACTCAGTAGTCTTGGCTGGTGGGGCAAAAGGCGATCTAACGCCGCCTGACAAGGCTCCACCAGCCGTGTACATCGTTCAGCAGCAGAGGGGAATAAAAAAAAACATATAAAAAAATAAGAAAAAGAATGCGAGGGCTAACTTCTGCTACTACAAGTTAGCCCTCGCAATTCAAGAGCACGAACAATTCAATGACCTACACGCAGCCACCAAAGAAGCAGAAGCCATGGAAAACTTCTCATTAAAGCATGCTCGTGAGAGACTACTCTTCACGAAATGTTACCCTGTCTTGATCATTCTGATAAGCCCAGAGAACACAAGAGTGTGATGTGTGTGCGGGGCATTTGAAACCATTCAAAGCTTCCAGCATAGCAAATCATAGCGCACACATAATACACATACGACAGACTCTGTGCTCCACGGGGTTATCGAAATGATCAAGTCAAGTTTATTTGTTAAGTGCGATGCTTCAATGTTCCAAAGGAAGACTTGCTTTCACTTCGACAAAATGGTTTTTGATCTATAAACCTAAAAGAGATTATGAAACTATTACGACTGTGCAGTTTCATTTGTAAAATAAGTTTATACTACTTTGGAATATTTTAACAGAAGGAACGCACCACCTAGCCACACCTTATGGACAATATCGCTTTTATATCGCGATTAATATTTGAAATTAATTTATCGCAGGGTCAATTCACTATTAAATATTCTTCGCGCTGATTTATCAAGTTGAAATATTTTTTCCATACACCTCTTCTTAGAGGCAGGTTCGATATTTTTTCCAAAATTATTACGCCGCGCACTTACTCCCGGAAATAACAGAGTATGCTTTGATTCGCACTGCCCAGCTGTAATTGTTTTGAAGACGGGTGCACGGCTCTCCATGAAGCGGCGCTAATACAATCGGCTTCCGGGTTACTTACGTCATTGCCTAGCTCATCGCTTGAAGAAAACGCAGAGAAAAGGGCTCTTACGTGCGCCAAACGCCCCCCGCCGCTCGACTCAGTCAACGTCATTGCGGCCTTCAGTTGACCCTGGCAAGATTTTTTGGCCCGATTTTTTACAGAAAGGGAGCTACGCTTTTCAGTTGTACAAGAAAAAAAAACGGACTTGAGAAATGCACCTTTGACGAAAAGGTTAAATTGCTTCGTGCAGGCGTCGATTTTTACGCACCATTTTAGATCGAGCCTGATTAGTCCAGACACCGTAAGTATATATTTTATAATAATCGTAAGCGTGACTGCTGACTTAATACAATAACTTTAACGCTCGTATGTTTTTATTATGATCTTATTAAAAAAATTGTAACAGTCCTACCTTTAACCAACTTATAAAACACAGAATTAAATTTCAATTTTATTACGACCCATTATTAGAGAACTCCTGTCATATCAAGTAGTATACGCTCATAGATCAAGTGGAATATATTCTAGTTTTTAGTTCTTATATGTCATTCAAAAATAATGGTGTATAAAAAACAGTGAAGTAGTATTACATTTTTTGAATGGATTGAGGGTTACCAAAAATGAAATATCGGTGTAGATTATAGTAACACGCGAATACAGAACCTCCTACAAAGGCAGTATTCGTCAAAATAATTAAAATGCGATTGAGATTTGCGAAAAGCAGCAGTGGACACTGTTTTTTTATTTATTATTTTTATTTTAATATAATTCTTAATATTACTATTGTAGTTACGGAACGTGTTGGTCGAGTATAGTGAGACTGTACCAAAGCCCTTTACGTATTTAAATATTTATTTATAAACAAATAGTGCATAAATATGTAACCATGGTTTGCTTTTAGGTTAGGGATAAAGGCTCTCTATGAGATATCCTTTTGTTTCAGGTACTTGTCTGATTTGAAGCGTTAAACTTTTCATGTCAATGATACAAATTGCTTATGATTCACTAAAATTTAACCTCGAGATCTTTTTCTCCACTGATGGGTTTATGTTAAATCTGCGTGACTAGATGTCTGTGAACTAATAAATAATGCATTTTTTTATCATGACAATGTTGCGTGACATTTATAGATTTAACCTTTTTGTTTGCTGTATTCTTAGGTTTTACACTATGTATTTTTAGTGAACCACAATGTAAACCGAGGGGTTATTTGTCGGCACGAAGAATAAAACTATTTATTTATTTATCTATATATTTCGTTGACTTTCTTGAGCTTCGTTTCGCGACTTTCTAAAAAGTAAGAACACCTAAAATTATTTCGAGTCCGTTGACCAAAGAGTCGTAGACCCTAAACCAACTCGGCGTCACTCGTAATTTACCATTTTTTGTTTACCGCATTTTTGGTGCTCTACTCCGGGAGATCATACAGTTTTAAAAGTTGGAATTGTAGGGCCTACTTATAGGTGCAAACTATACATAATTCTTGTTTCAAAATATTTTATTATAATAAGACATGAAGGTTTTTGTGAATGACTGGGTGTGTTAAGGATTATTTATGTACAATACAAGCTTCCTTGTGAGTTAGGAAAGGAGGAATTTGGAAAAGTGTGCTGTGAACTAAGAAGTTCTCAAGTGCTAACTAAGCACCAGGTTAGAAATATGGATCGGCTGCGGACATGCGAAATCGCGGACTATCTGATAAATTTATTTCAACTATGATTTGCTTCTGCCGGACCAGGTCATCAGTCTAGCAAATACGGTATTAATCGCTTAATTGTTTTCTTTACCTCTTACCGCAATGACGACGACGAGTGATAACCACAATGTAGAAACAAACATAAAACAAAGTAAATATAGTGCTTACAGTTATAAAAGAACTAAAAACAGCGCTTCAAAAGGCTGATACGTCACAAAAAAAAAAATTAAGCTTGATGAGCTGGTTGTCTTAATATTTCAGCAGTACGCGGAATTAAGCAAAGTAATTATGGGTTATGTTATATAGGTTAATGCCAACATTTCGCTTGAAATATAAGTTGTGTGAAAGGTATGACATATTTATTTAGAAATAAGCTTCGGTCTGACGCGTCACGCGTCATGTACGTCTCACGCGTTCCGGTGTATAAAAAAAAATATAAACGGAACAAATTCAGTTTCAAGAGCCTGCAAGGTGACATCCCTTGTTTCCATAGTGCTTCCACCGGTGAAAGCAGCAATGTAGCTGATAACGGGGCGTGAACCTAGATGGCGTCGTGAAGACCCAACGCCGGGGTTTTCTTCGATTGTCCACCTGGGTAGTAATACAGGTTAACAGCAGTCCGCCGTCTCCGCATCCACTACAAATTAAATAAACCGTTGTAAGAACCACGTCAAATGTCGAAACAATCAACTCTGACAACAGACCACGATGTCACCACGCGTAAGCGGAGTCGAAGGAATTAAGGCATCCATACCAATCTGCACACCCGTTGGGGCAAAGTTTATGGAAATATAGTGCCAACACCTGGACCAATAAAGATATTGCGACCATACTGTGGTCACCCTTAAGCTAAAATTGCGGTAAAGGATACGTGATCTCTGAACCAATCAACCGCCTTCCTTTCATCACCTGACTGCATGAGTTTGGGCGACGTGGCGAAAGGGGGAAGTATGACTGGTGCAACGAGCAGGTAGCTGAGACTCCATTGTGTTCTTGGGGTGAATGGAGTATGCTAGGCACATGTTCATAGCTCTAAAATTCTATCATTATATGTTAGATAGTCTTGGGAGTAAACCCAATCTTTTGGGGAACAATATAATCAGCGTAAAAATACAGAAGTGCTTTGAGTTAGTTCACTGTGCCCCGTTTTTTTTCTTACTGAAAATACAAGAGCTCTCTTCCCTTATTACTTTAACGTAGATTATGCTCCGACGGTTTTTATTGGTTTTGAACATGTTTTTTTTCGTCCACGCGATTTGTGATGATTAGCTCTAAATATTTCTTTACTTTTGCCTAACTATCTTTTTAGGTCGTGCAGAAAGTGTAGTGCGAAAAAGCTAGAGTGAATTCGGCAGTAAGTTTTGTTTAAGTTCCACAACGCTTAATATCGCTTTAAAAAGCAAGATGTGGCAGTTTTCTTGCCAAGTTGCCGCTTAAAATAAATATCGGAAAAGTATCGCTAAGATCATCATTAATATGACGCATCTAACTGCAAAACATTTCCATTCGTAGGGTGAACGCAACACTTGTGGATCTTGTATACCATAAAGTGTTCTTTACATATTGGCTGACGTCAGAGCTAAAAATTAAAAACCACGAATATTGGAAGTGCACGAAAGCCGTCCAGATAGCGTACAGACGCGGAAAGAATCTGAGCAAAAACAATGGGTGAGTCAATTCGCTTCACGTTGCTTTCGATTACGCTAATGATCTGTAGTTGCTTGCATTTGGATTTCGCTTGCCCGTTTTAAATACATAAACCGAAGCTAACTTTTAATAAACTGGTGCTGTAAACTTTTTTATTATGCGTGAAATCGAGTCATACGAAGCTCAAATGACTGTTAAAAATAGGGGAAGCATTCCAACGCACAGGCAATAGCAACAAAGTGATCGCTTGTCGAGCTGACAATGAGACCATGACACATCGTGTGCCGCCATCGGCAAAAAAGGGTCTGAAAAACTAGATAAAGGGGAGACAGAAAATAATAACAAATAAGTTATTTTCGTGCTTTTCATGAAATCCTGCAGGAGGTACCGGTTTAAGCTGAGCCGTTTCCTAATCATCTCATACTTGGGAAAGTTTCTATGTTGCACGAGGCCGTCAAATAACGCTACCTTAGCATGACCTTCGAATGCTTGCGCGCTTTCTAAACCTTTGCATTTGTGCTGGTAAACATTCGGTACAGTGTTATCGTTTCTTAAAGAATTTAATATAAAAAAAGCCTCATGGAATTGGTAGGAGTCATCCACAAGCGAGGTGTAAGACAATCCCCTTTGCGGAATTTCGTTTACGAACACCCTGTACAATATTTCTCGCTTCTTCGTAGCTGTGCCGACTCTGTAAAACCTTAACTACGTATCGCAAATCATACTTTTGCTTTTGCAGGTGTATCTCTTATTCAGCATTTTCTGCTGCCTTTCGGACTCCTGGTCTGGACGGCGGACGTTGGAGTGTCCGAGGAGGTTGCCATTTGTGTCCTCAAAACAACAAATATTAGTGGCATCGTACGGTTCGTGCAAACCAGTGTGCGTAAGATGACCTCACGATTGTGAGACTTTTAGTAGTAGCTTGCTCTTCTATTCTTTTCTTGCATAAGCCAGATGTCCCTATACTTCGCTTTTTCGCTTGTTTGCTCCTTGATTAGAACTGGAGTGTTGAAGTCACAGTGAATGTCACTGGTCTTCCACCGGGATCTCATGGCTTCCACATTCACCAATACGGGGATATATCTAAAGGTAAGTTTATTAACAGGAGATTTTAAAAATATTGTTTAAAAATAATCACTGTACTGTTTTTACAATAACGCGGATCACAACGACCGCTAAAAGTGCGAGCTGGTCAAACCTACCGCGGCGCCAGCGAAAGAAATTACTTGGCACGAGCCGTTAAGGGTGGACCATTAACCAGGTGGCGCCTCCATGATAATGATATAAATAATGAAAATGGTGAGGCGACCTTTTTCATTGTAGCCACCAAAATCAAACAAGCCCCGTGCGCTAGCCAGATGTATATAAAACGAAAACATAATATAATATTTTTCCTCCCGTGTATCTTGCTCAAACTGTGTTCCAGCATTGCTTTAGTCTTCTGTTTACACTTCACACGCGAAGTGTTGTCCCGCCTCGGTGTTGCTGGCGTCACGGTACTGGACATGCTGGAGTTCATTCTGGCTGCGTCTGTCCCAGCCGTCTCCATGTTGCCCACGCTTGGTGTCGTGATCTTGATCACACGGAAACTGCTAGCGTACTTTTGAGGTGTATTAAAAGGATGTTTGTCCAACTGAGGTGGCAACAGGCTCTTACAAAAGAATTACAAGTTTACCGTGGTCCCAGTTTCTTGTATCTCCTAGCACCATATCTTGTCATTTTGCCTATACTTCAGGTAATGCGGACAGTTTAAATATTACCGAGTTATGTAGAGCTCTCGCTTTAATGAGCTTCACTATATATTGTAATGTAAAAACATCAAACTGAAGAAAATGTAAAAAAAAAAATTATCTGAAACATGTATAAACAACTATAATATTTCCCATCAAAAGGTCGCGCAATCAGAAGCAAGGACTGCGCATCTCAATCGCCATCGGCGTCATTAAAAAAGCGCTTATACTTGGGGAGTATTCTAGTAAACTTTTTTAAAATTTATGGGTATTATCTAGATAATATGTTAACAAGACGAACTTACTATGTCTCTGAGATCGCCATTATCAACATCAGAGTTTGTATGAAATGTTTGCGCTCGGTGGAAGCACAAGAAGGGATGAGGATTTTTGTGTGATCGATCGCCTGTCAATCGTCATTACGGTCAAAGTGGTCGTGCTATGTGTATTGACAGGTAATTTAATGGACATAATTTAAAACAGTGTTTTAGTTTTAATTTGAGTTGTCTAGAAAAATGTTGACGGTTTCTTCTTTAATGCTTCTATCTTGTTTTGTTATAAATATTTTCAGTGGTTCTTATTTGTGTGCATAAATATATACATCAAAACGTTTCGGTGCATTAGGTATATATTGCAGTGCCGCTTCACGAAATGATTGAATATCACTACATCTAAAAGTTTCTGTCGTAAAATTAATGATTGATGCAACTACAAAGTGCGCTCGTTTACTGTAGACGATTTATAATGGCAGTAACTAGCATGCAATGGAGTCGCTCACTTCTTAATAACATTTCATTGTTTTGGCTCAAACTTTGGCCTCAGTACAAACGAAAATACTACGTGGAAGTTTAAAATTCCTTAGACCTTTATGTTTGAGCAATTAAAAGTTATTTTAAATGTCTGTATCGACTTTAAAAAAATGGTCATATTAGTTTCCGATGTTTTATATTAGACCGTGACTACGGCCGGGGCCATACGAAGGAACCGCATAACTATTTTAGAGTGCAGCTCTTAGGCGCCCGTTTCCGGCTTGAGCGGCGTTGCCGTCGGCGTCGGCGTGACCGCGCGCATTGCATTATGGGACGTCTCTCTGCTATAGTGAGCGGGGAAATTTTTTCGCTAAGTTTAGCGAGAAATGTTTCGGCTAAATTTAGCGGGGAAACGTCCCATAATGCATCGCGCGCGGTTACGCCGACGGCGTAACCCCTTATGCTGAATTTTGGGACGTTTCCCCGCTAAAGATTGCGAGGAACTTTTCCCGATAAATTTATTACGAAGTTTTTCTGCTCAAATTAGGTAAAAATTTTCCCGCTAAATTTAGCGCGGAAATTCTACGCTAAATCTAGTGGGAAAAACTTCCCAGTAGAATTAGCGGGGATATTTTCACGCTAAATTAAGCGGGAAAAATGTTTCTGCTAAGTTTAGCGGGGACGTTTTTCCGCTAAATCTAGCGGGGGAATTTTTCGGCTAATTTTAGCGGAAAATGTTTTCCGCTAAATTTAGCGGAAAAATTCCCCCCTAGATTTAGCGGGGAATTGTTTTCGCTGATTTTTTTGTGAAATCTTTTTCGTTAAATTTAGCAGGGAAATGTTACTGTTAAATTTAGCGAGGAAATGTTACTTCTGAATTGAGCGGAAAAATTCTTAGCTGAAGTTAGTGGAGAAATTTTTGCTAAATTGGGCAGGAAATTTAGCGAACATTTAACGCTCAATGGGAGGGGAGCAGGAGAGGAGGAGTGGAGGGTAAAGAGAGGGGGAGAGGCATACCCTCCCCTCCGTGCCGTCCCCTCTTCGTCCTCAAGAGCTGCGGTCTAATTCGGAATTACAGAGAATTGTAATCGTCTTTCTTTTTTTATACAAATTACATAGTATTGTGTTAGAGAGGTACAAAATAGTTAATTGTTTGTTAAATATAAAAATGATGAGTCCAGGTGAGTAAAAACAAGATAAAATTATTCAGTTTTTCAAGTATGCCTCGTTCGCTGGAAACCATCAAACGGCATGATGAGCCATATGGCGTGTGCTTAAAATAAAAGCAAAACTTTAATGCAAGCAAGTTTTATTTTAGATCTTTCTACTCACTTTGATGGTGTGATAAAAGCCAGCATGGCCGCCAACGCTAATTGATTATTTCAAAACAAATGACTTAGTCCATAAAAAAAAGTTTGTACCTTTTACAGTGACGAGGTTATATTTTCCTACTTTCAAATAAACTAATCACCGGCGAGCACCATTGCAGAAACGTTCCAGCTCAATACCCTGAAAGAGCAGATAATGCTGTCCCTCAAGGATAAGGCCGCCGTTGGCGCTGTTCGCATGTTGCTTTCCCGCAGGCTGCGCCAGTGCAGGAGGCCACTACAACCCACTCTTCATGAACCATGGTGGACCCAACAGTTCTGTACGGTACGTTCTAAAATGTCTTATTTAGATGATTATCGGTTGAAGATTTCACTATAGAATGCCTTGACATGATAGTTCTCAAAGTGTTTCCGTTAACCCTTCTAAAAGTCGGAGTATAATTTGTTTTCCTGAGAAGTGAGACATTTTGAAAACCAGATTTCAGAGTCAGTTATTGAGATAATCGAGAATGAACCCTTCAAGAAATGGCACCTAGTGCTTGGCTGCTGTGCACAGAATCCAGTGATTTAGCCTCATAGCCCTATAGTAGAACTGCATTCAAGCAGTGCCACTGTCCGCCTTTTTAATGACTTTAGAGGAATGATGAACTCTGAGGTGCTTCTTACATAGATCTCTCAAACAAGGAGTCAACGCTGGTGAGATTTTGACTTATACAAGAATTCATAAGATGAGTGGAATAACTTCTAATTCGGGGTAGTAACTTAACTTGTGGTGTGCACTGCCGCACGCTGAAAAAGTGTGTTATCCCGGTGGCGAGAAGCAGGAGGAAGCAATAGTGAAAAAGGACGACGACATAACAGAAAGACCTACAAAACAAACAGAGAACGCTGACTTAAAATTCTGATGTATTCGGATGGATGGATAGATGGATGATAACGGCAGTATCCTTTCTAACGGGCCGTAGCCTGCGCCAACTAGCCGTAAACAGTAACAATTGCTTGATATCCCTTTTAATTTTCAAGGCATTGAGCTTCTCTATCACCAGGTCATGCAGATGATCGCCAGGCAGACCTTTGGGGGGTCGGGCAGAAAACTAAAAAGCGCAATCACCGCCTCCCTATCCGGCGATGGAGTCGCCAATTTTCCTGCGGTCGAACCATGCCGGCTTCACCTAACATGCGACTCACTGGGGGACAGGGTTGAGAATTTGGGCCGAAGCCACGCGGGTGAAAATACCAATTTTTCTCTGACCCGCCTGCCCCTCAGCTGGGCTAGTCAGTTGTACTTAGTTCAATCTTTCCTACATAATTTTCACCCGTACGCCAATCTCTTCTTCCTTGCCCCTACTCTTTCTATGACCTATCCTTCCGTCTTCACCAGCAAACCCAAGGGCCACCAGTTCGTCTGTCGCACCATCGTGAAAGGCAGGACTGAGCGTCTTACATTTTAAAATCCCATGCTGAATTGTTTCCGTCTCCAATTCTTACATACTGCGCACATTGTGTCTCAATATTCAAAATTCGACCTGTACGTTTCTTTTTTTAAGGCTCCCATCCTCGCGTCAAACAGCAGTGCGCTCCCTCTTGAATTATCGAATAAACCTTCTTTCTTTATTTCTTGTTTTGTGACCTATAAGTCGTCAATGTTGATTTTCCCTCCATTTTTTCTAGAGATATCCTACAAACGCTCCTTTGCCCTATCCCTAATTTCGCCTGAACACCAGAACCCATGTACGAGACTGCATAAACAAAGGTCAATTCTGTGACTATTCCTCCTTTCCATACTCCCCGTTCAACTTAGTATCTATTAATGTTCTATTACGCCCTGTGCTTCACAATTGTCAAATTCCTTTCACCCTCACCAATTATATGTCTCGGATGCTCCTCGAGGTATTTCTTTCCTTCGTTGACCCACACTCCCATATATTTGTACTTGTGCGCAATATCGATATCTATGTTCTGTATATTTAATGGTCTCCCTAGATGTCGTTAAAAACGTAATTACAGATTTTGTTTCGCTGAATTTAAATCCAAGAGCGTCCCCTAGCACGGCGCCGATTCCAATAATTTTCTGCAACTCTTCTTTTTTATCTGCTAAGAGTACAATATCATCTGCGTAAATTAGTTTAGTATTGTATTATGCCACCCATACATCAGGTGGCACTTTGAGTTATCGTTTGCGGTGTTACAACAATATGGCGTCCAGTGCCGGACAGCGGCACGCGCAATTTCTGGATGAATGTAGATATTGTAAATAGAACCTGTTTTTATTCGAACTCCGAGCTGGTCTGACGTGTCTTCCATTCCTCGGTGTGCCCGCTTGGTCCTTGGCCACCGACCACTTCCATGTCGCACGCGCCATGCCATGTAAGCCTTTTTCTATCTTCACAGGCCTTCCGAGGCGCTGTCTTTTCCTTAGCGTTTCATGTTTTTCTCCACCCTTTCATGGTGGCCCTCCATAACCACTACAATTAGGCCGTGCAGCTTCTGCCTTACTGTTCTTCCTCCCTCCATGTACGATATATTGAAGCCCAATTCACTTTGCTTTACTCCTTTCTCCATATTTCTAAGCCCACGCCTTGCTGTGGCTGGCTCTGTAGTTTGAGCCTCCCGTGTTATAGTTACTGTATTGTACAAGTACACTTCCTGCAGAAACCTAACCAATTTAACATGTAATTATGTTTCTTTTAGGTGTGTTCCCAACCTTCCGTGGTTTACGTAATCGTATGCTGCCTGAATGTCTAAACATGCCATCCATAGCAGTCGTTGGCTTGTCCGAGTTCTTTCTATAGATTGCGTCACTGCACACAAATTATCTTCTAGTCTCCCATCCTTGATAAAACCATTCTCGAGTCCTCCCAACATTTCTTCTGTTTCTACCCATTCTCCTACTCTACCCTTCACCACCTGCATTACTAGTCTGTATAGGACAGAGGTTGCCGTTATGGGGCGGTAGGATTTGATGTTGGCCCAGTCGCCTTTACCCTTGCACAGCAGCCTAATCCTGCTTTATCGACATGTCTCGGGTACCTCTCCCCCAACAACATTGTTTTCAAGAGTTTGTTGCAGTATACATTAATTTGTTTTTTTCCAAGGATTTTTCGAAGACTCGTTGGTATGCCATTTAGTCCAGTTGATGTTTCTGATGACACCCTGCTTTCGGTTTTTTTCTATTCACTTATTACTCTCTGTGACACATCTTTAAGGTCTGGTTGGCTGACAAAAGAAAATCTATTCTTTCCGTTTTTTCTGAAGGCTCTAGATCTGAAAACATTTCTTCAATTATATTCCTCCTCCTCCTCTTCTACCTGTGTCCCATCGTCAGTATAGTTAATGAGCGGTGGTGCATGTCAGTCTTTTTACCTTATGATTTTAAGTGCTCTCAAAACTTCTTGGCTGCATTTCTATAATTCCAGTTAATTTTCCCTCTTAGTTTCATTTCGCCGTTTCCAGTCTTGTCCTGGATTGAAGCATATGCTGCTGCTTTCTTTTCCTGAAACTCTTTCCGATTTTCCTGCATTTTCTCCGGTGAAGCACCCCTCTTTTTGCTTGTCTATGCTTCCTGGATGCCTCCTGTCACTGATTTATGGCTATTTTGGCTTCCTTAGCTCACTATCTCTTTGGCGTCTGTTTGTAGTTGTTCTTAAATCTGGCTGTGCTTCGTTCCAACTCCTTCTTCAATATTTCTGTTAATTCATTGTACCACCACCCTTTCTCTGCTTCTGTGGCTGCTGTGTCCTCAATTCGGCTTGGTCCTTTTCCAATGTTGCTTCCTACTACAATTCACGATCTCGCCTACGCCGTCACTTAACGAAAGGAAGCCCATCCAACGAGTGCCGACGCGCGCGCCTGTTGCTAGATTAGCGCAAAATCAACAGTTGGCGATTGGACCTTACAATTATTTACAGGGCTCAGTTGTATTAAACGATTTTTGGCAAGTAACCGGTAGGTAAATAACGACAACTGATAACGCAAAAAAGTAGAGTGGTCTGGTATTCTGCATAATCGTGGAACCAAATGCAAATATCAAAATACGCTGATCGGCATCTATTTAACGAGAATGTGTAAGACTTATGTGATCTTCTACTGACTTTCCTAATGAATAATAATGAGCAAATTTCCATTGTGAACTTCTCGGTGCACCGCATTAAGTATATTCTGCTTTGAATACTGTTCTTTCAGACACGTCGGTGACTTGGGTAACATTGTGGCAAACTCTGACGGGATTGTTGTCCACTGCCGTAAATATCACAACTTCACTCTCCATGGAACCCATTCGATTCTAGGGCGTTCTATTATCGTAAGTACAAGCCAGATTTTTTATTTTGTGTGTGTCATGCCTAACGTATCACTCAATACACCTTCTTCATTAGTGAAACATGCACAAGTGGGATTTAGCTCTATCATAATAAACCAGGTCAAATTTAGCTAATATTGCGCCCTTAAGTTTTGTGAAACACAATTAAAATTGTGTTTTAACGCGATAGGGCTAAGGAGGTCATGGGACGGGAAAATCCTGATTGGCTGTTGTTTCATGACGTCAGAGCCACATGACGATACGCGGGAATTTTAAGCAAACCACAACGCTCACGTGAAACGCGACGTCACGCGTGGAGTGAAAGTGATTGAAACATGCTATTTAATGGGAATTACAGGTCGGTGCATGCCTCAAACTATTTTGCTTCATAAAGTAATTGATTTGCCTCAAAGAAACAATTTGAAGAAGATTAGGCGGGATTCAAACCCGCAACCCTTCGGTTTCGAGCCAGACGCGCCTGCACGGCTTGCGAACGAAAGCGAGTTTATGTATTTAGCTACCGCGCTTCACTCTTACAGGCGAAGCTTAAGCGTACTACTGTAATTGTATCGTTTTTTATTTCCACGTACTTATAAGACGGAGAGCCGCGAATAAAAATTATCTTTTAATTTCACATTCTGATTGTAACTATAATACATATTCCAATCTACAACATCAAATGGCTGCTGAGTGCTTCTGATTACGTTTTGTTTTGCTTGGAAGAGCAACAAAAGAACAGCCTGCTGTCTCCCTCTAACGATTATTCGTCCCCCTTAGGACAATCCTCAACGTGTTAAAACTATAGCGTCGCCATATCAACGAGGTGCCTGTGTTGTTTTTTGTTCTAGTTTTCATAATTTGTTACCTAGCTATTTCGCGGACCAATATCTCGCGGTACCTTGTCAATGCATTAGGTAGCCCTCCAAAACAGTACCGCTTCTAGTAAAATACTTTCTTATGAGTGATTGCCTGTCTTGTCACAGATTCACGCCGACGTGGACGACTACGGACTTGGCGGTCACAGCGACAGTCTCAAGACTGGTCACGCTGGAGCCCGCCTGGCTTGCTGTTCCATTGTCGTTTCTCAATGATTATTTTTTTTCCTGCGTCGCACTAAGTAAAATATTAGGAATGAATAGGCCTACTGTGTGTTTTTTATTTAAAATTGTCTCACCCAAAGAACGATGCCAAGACCTACTGCTCTAAATACGCTTAAAAAATATTGATAATTTCTTGTGATTTTTTATGTTTAGTCATGTGGGTCTGATCAACCAATTATGTTCAGACTCTCCCTCACTCATATTAGTATAGAGCTTACGCACGCGGTATTTTGTCATTGTGTCCAAGTCGAGTGCCGTGTGTCTGTTAACCTTATCGTTACTCTTTCCTATCTATAGCGCGGCTGCTATCAGTATAAGAGCAGCCGCGAGCCTGTCAACGTTTGAACTTGTATTCTTGGAAGCAAAGAATAAATCACGCTTCACCGAGTTCTTCCCTCGAAGATAAAACAGTGGCGACGAGGATGGGATGGCTGGGAAGTCAGAAGGAAGCGCTGTTATCTGCAACAGCGGAAGCGCCTTGACGGAGGACCACGACATGGCTTCGTGCGGCGGCCTCTTTGAGCAGTTCATCGAGGATGGGAACGAAGACTTCGAGTAGTACATCGAGTGGCTGGAGCACTATTTTCGAGCAACGAAGGTGAGCGACGATTTGAAGGACTCGGTCTTCGTAACGGCCATCGGGAAGCAAGCATACCGCACGTTGAAGACGCTGTTAACCCCAGTAAAGCCAGACCAGAAGGACTATGCGAATCTGGTCATAGTCCTCATGACGTATTATGCTCCGAAGCCAATGGTGATCGCCGAGCAATTGAGATTCAACCGGAGGGCCCAGCTTGAGATGGAAACGGTGGCGACACTTACGGTGGAGTTAAAAAGGCTCGCGGCCACCTGCGATTTTGGGCAGTCCCTGGATGAAGCACTCCGGGAACGTTCTGTCAAGGGACTCAAGGGCCAAACAGCCCCAAGCAGAGCTTCTTAAAAACAAAACTTTAACTTTCTCGGTGGCATGCGACATTGCCAGAAGCATTGAGCTCGCAAGATCAGAGACCAAGAAATTTCAGCCAGCAGCCCCGGAACAAGTGGAGGTGAACGCCGTCCAACGTCCCTTCCGGGACAGGAACGACGGAGCGGCTACCAGGAAGGCGACGACGGAGACGTCCGAGGCGTCATGCTGTTTCCACTGCGGAGCACCCCATGCCGAGTCAAGTTGCCCGTTCCGGAAGTACAAGTGCCAAGTTTGTAGGCGAGTGGAACACCAGGCAAGGGTCTCCGAAGCAACATCCCGTTTGGTGCAAGACGTAGACAACGGTAATCATGAGGACAACGTTTGGCTGTACAACATTGGCTCTTGCAAATCTAGCAAAGGGGGTTACACTACTGAAGGTCGTGTGGCGGGCAGAAGGGTGACGATGCAGGTGAATACGGGAGCGTCGGTTTCCATTGTGCCTGAACAGTTGTATAAGCAGTACTGGCCAAGATGGTCTCTCGCGAACTGTCGCCTAAAGTTGAAAACTTATGGGGGCGTGCCGTTGGAGGTATTGGGCAAGTTGATTGTACCTGTGGAGCACAATGGGCAGACCATGGTGTTGTTGCTTGTAGTGGTGCGAACGCCACAGAAATGCGACAATCTGTTAATGGGCCGCGATTGGCTAGACGCGTTAAGGCTAGTCTGGATGAGGGTACGTGTATGGTGTTAGTCTAGACAAAGTGGCAGCGCTGATTGAACGATTCTCGGAAGGGTTTGAGCCTGCGCTGGGATTAATCGCGGGCAGTCAAGTTAAATTAGTGTTGAAGGACGACACAACCCCAGTTTTCTGTAAACATAGAACTGTGCCATTCGGTTTAAGAGAATCAGTAGAGCAAGAGTTGCATTCACTGGTAAAGACCGGAGTCCTTGTTCCTGTTCAGCAGAGTGAGTGTGGCTCAACGTTTATAGACGAGAGGGCGCTGCGGTCAAATGCTCAAATGCGTATATAACCACGTTCCATAACACACATTCTCTTTCTGACATGGACCGTTCACTTAAGCGGTGGAAATGCAATCCCACGGCTTCTAGCGGATCAGCTTGGATCCGCTAGAAGCCGTGGGAATATGGCTCTGTATGTCACCGACCATAAAGCAGTAATAATGAAGTCGAAGCGCAACCCGGAATTCAGCACTACCTATGAGACACAAAAAAAATATCAGCACCATCAGCACTATCTATGAACAATAAAATCAGCATCAGCACCCCCAGATCTTCGGTCCAATCAACATTATTCACCACGTGGAGTTGCAGTCATTTTTTTTTTCGGCGCTGGACGAAGCTCCGCTATCCGCAAGAGACATAAGACGGGAAACGCGAAGGGAGCAGCTGTTGTCGAAAGTGTTGTTCTACACACAAAGCGGCTTACCTTCGAAGGTTACAGAGGATTTGCTAGCGCCTTATTTTGTTAGACGCAACGAACTGTCAGTTGATCAAGAGTGCGTGACTTGGGGCAATCGCGTAGTGGTTTCACTGTCACTGAAAGGCAAAGTGTTAACAATGTTACACGAAGGTCATCCGAGGATAACGCGAATGAAAATGTTGTCCAGGAGTCACGTCTGGTGGCCTCGTCAAACGGAAGATGTAGGGGAAAGCGTGAAAGAGTGTGCCACGTGTCAGCTTTCACAAAATGTTGCGCTTAAGGTACCCTTGTTGTCGTGAGGTAGGCCGATACGTAGACGGGAGAGAGTGCACCTCGACTATGCCTATCGCAATCAACCATGTTTTCTTATGCTTGTGGACGCCCATTCTAAATGTTTTGAAGGGTTTGTGATGAGCAGCACAAGTAGTGATAAGACAGTGGAAAAGCTGCGTAGCGTGTTTGCGGCATACAGGATACCGGAAGAGGTACCCTATTGGGAAAACCAGCAAGGATATCAAGCTGGTTTGAGCTGGTATAGGTAGTAATCAAGCTGGTTCAAGCTGGTTCCAGCTGGTTCGAGCTGGTACTGCAGCCGGGCAAGCTGGTTCGAATGGTACTGAAGCTGGTTCAAGCTTGTCAAGCTGGTTCAAGCTGGTTCGAGCTGCCAATGCAGGTGGGCAAGCTCGTACTTGAACTGGTTCAAGCTTGTCATGCTGGTTCAAGCTGGTTCTGAATCTGGCCCGAGCTGGTTCAAGCTGGTGTTGCTGGGGGCGCGCACGCCAAGGTCGGCGAGAGCTTGTCGAACTGTCACTGCCGGGAGCGCGCGCGCCAAGGTCGGCTAAGGTGAAAACGATGCCACGTCCTGTTCTTTGTCCTCTCCTTTTTGGTAGACGATCGGGCGCTTCAGGCACGCTGCGAGCTTCTTTTGTGTGCGAGAGGGAGAGAAAGTGAGTGGTAGGAACGTAGAATTTGAGACACATTTGGCTTTCTTGGGCAGATTTTCGAAGCGACGGCTGTGTGCCCGTTGTTTGGCGACTAGCTGAACGGCGGTGCAAGCGAAGCGGGATTTAAGGGGACAGCGAGCGGCAGTCCGTTCAGCGCGGAAAGAAGTCGGATGCCCCGACTGAGCCGTCGTTTTGTGTCTTCGAACATCTGTGTGCTCGTGAATGACGGTGGTGCCGAGGAGTATCGCTAATGCCATACAAGCCACACGAAGTTCCTCGCCTCTAACGACTACGCAAGAGAACGCTTCGCTCCCATTACGGGCGGGACCCAGGTTCGCTTCTCTCATCCGTCTAGTATTTTTTATCGTTATTTTCTGTTTTTGGCGTGTGTCTAGTATTTTTTGTGTTGAGAGTAAGCAATCTAGTTTTAATAGCATAGTTTGTTTTGCACCGAGAACACTATCTGTGCGCCGGTTAGTACTGTGCCAGCGCAGTGGATGTGTAGTATCTGAGCTCACGTGAGCAGACCGCGAACACGAAAATATTAATTAGATGCCGAGTTGGCTTTTCTGAAGAGTTTTCTTGTTTATTCTGTGTATTCATTTAAACTGGTTAAAATGGTGGGGAAGTACACCAGCCTAACCAGCATGGGAAGTTCATCCAGCATGACCCAGCATTTGCCCAGCATCCAACCAGCTCGACCAGCACGGCAAGCTGGGCATGCTGGAGCAATAACCCAGCATGAAGGGTTAATGCTGGGACGAGCATGAAGCTGGGATGCTCGGACCAGCTTGTGCTGGGACCAGCTTGTGTTGGGACCAGCGCGGAAAGCTGGGCATGCTGGAGCAATAACCCAGCATAAAGCAGGGAAGCTGGGACCAGCTTGTGGTGGTTTTTTTTCAGTAGGGTAGTAACCGATAACGGACCCCAATTCACATCAACAGAGTTTAAACTGTTTTTGAGTAGGAATGGCGTCCTACACAGCAAATTTCCGCCCTACCATCCCGCCTCCAATGGCGGCGCAGAACACTGTGTACAAACCGTAAAAAATCTTTGTTCAAGCAAGTGATGGACGAGCAGAGAAGCGGCCATGCGAAGTCGCTGCAGCATCGCATAGACCAATTCCTGTTTAGTTACACGAATGCCCCCCCCCCCGGGAGAACTGATAAAACTCCTGCCCAGCTGTTCCTGTCATGGAGGCCTGAAGAAAACTGAGCCTTCTGCACCCCGACATCGAAAAACGAATGAAAAAGAAACTTGAGTGAACCAAAGAGTTTGCGGACCAGCACCGAGGGGCCTGGAGGGAGTTCTCTGAAGGTGACCAAGTTATAGTAAAGGGCCTACGGGCCGGCGATGCCAAATGGCTGACGGGCACAGTAAGCAAGCACGTGAGTCTAGCTACTTATCTGGTTCCTGTCGGCGAGGCAGAGTGGTACATTCATGCTGACAACCTGCGGCCGAGATCATGTCAAGCTGATATGGGGACACCTAACCGACTAGAGCCGTTTTCCGGAATCGAGACTGACACCGCTACAGCTGACCGGACGACCATGACCTGGCACAAGCAGGGGACGGAGCTGCGACACCACGGCCGCCTGACCCAGACTCCAGCCTCTCTAGAACTGTGACTGTTGGTCCCAGTGCCCCACCATCGGACAACGGAGTCTCCAGACCAGAAGCTCCACCGGCTTCTCCACTGCTGTGCCTCGGCGTACCACACGACCAAGCCGACCTCCGCAGCGCTACAAGCCGTAGACACCGCGAACTTTGCAGAGGGGAAGAGTTATTGTGTTATTGTGTCCTAGTCGAGTGCCAGGTGTCTGTTAACCTTATCGTCACTCTTCCTTATGTATAGCGCGGCTGCTATCAGTATAAGAGCAGTTGCGAGCGTGTCTAAGTTTGGACTTGTATTCTTGGAAGCAAAGAATAAACCACGCTTCACCGAGTCATTCCCTCAAAGTTAAAACAGTAATTGTATCTTTTTTTTTATTTTCACACACTTATAAGACGGAAAGCCGGGAATAAAAATTATGTTTTAATTTCACATTCTGATCGTAACTATAGTATATATTCAAATGTACAACATCAAATGGCTGCTGAGTGCTTCTGATTACTTTTTGTTTTGCTTAGAAGAGCAACAAAAGAACAGCCTGCTGTCTTCCTCTAACGATTATTCGTCCCCCTTAGGACAATCCTCAACGTGTTAAAACTATAGCGTTGCCACATCAAGGAGCTGCCTGTGTTGTTTTTGTTCTAGTTTTCATAATTTCTTACCTAGCTATTTCGCGGACCAATATCTCGCGCTACCTTGTAAATACATTAGGTAGCCCGCCCAAACTGTACCGCTTCTAATAAAATACTTTCTCATGAGTGATTGTCTCCCTTGTCACAGATTCACGCCGACGAAGACGACTACGGAATTGGCAATCACAACGACAGTCTCACGACTGGTCACGTTGGAGCCCGCCTGGCTTGCTGTTCCATTGTCGTTTCTCAATGATTTCTTTTTTCCTGCGTCGCACTAAGTAAAATATTAGGAATGAATATGCCTATTGTGCTTTTTTATTTAAAATTGTCTCACCCAAAGAACGATGTCAATACTTACTGCCTCTAAACACGCTTTAAAAACATTATTAATTTCTTGGGATTTTTTATGTTTCGTCACGTGGGTCTGATCTACCAATTACGTTCAGATTTTCCCTCGCTCGTATTAGTATAGAGTTTACGCACGTGGTATTGATTCATGTTCAAAACTATCTACATGATATGTCGTGTAATATTTGTTGGTCCTTGTGATCTTTGCATTAATCATATATGCGCTTCTGTAACTATAAATAAACAGTGGTTATGCATTTATGAACTGATTATCATCCTTATGTTTTATGCTGAGTTCGGGTCTTAATTAATGTTGTAAAGTTTTTGGTTATGATTTTCGCTCCTCACACTTGAGGAGGCACATTGTGCACAAATTAGTAATTGTAAATATGGACAGTTAATTTATTATTTGCTCCATCGCATCTTCCATGCAGGCCAACACTAAGCACTTTTTGATAGAGAAAGTAAACAGTCCAAAAATTGCGTAACATGGCCAGTAAATTATTGTAACTCTCTCTATTGAAATTACGTATAAAGTTTAGAACACTTAATGCCAACTTTTTTTACGACAAATGAAGCACCTTGAAAATTGGGTCTCCATTGGACAGGTCGTCAGTTTTTCTAAGCAAAGTGAAGCAACCTTGTTTTTGATGCTGACAATCATACCCATAAAGGTTGCGAGCAGGCTGTCGGACCGGAATCGAACCGAACCGAAAACCGGAGTCGAACCTTTATTTCAAGCCGAATTGGCAGTGAACCGAACCGAAATTTTTGCCGCCGTCTTGGGACGGAACCGGAAAAAAAATAGCGGTAACTGGTTTAAAATGGTTCACGCTATTTTTTTTTTCATTTGTGTTCAGTATTACAAAATGAATATTCAGGAGTCGAAAATTGGCAGCTGTTTTCTTTATATATTGATCAAATCGTCATGTACAGAATTGCAATGTATGAGAAATTGTGGGTTTTCATGGCGACAATGCATGATTAAGCATGTGTCACGTGACCCTGTGACGTCACGTGACCTCGTGACGTCACGTGACTCATTGTGTCAAGTCGATTTAAATTAAGAACGTCACTATACCCCGTCTCACCCTATGATTAACTAAAGGCCATAGCTACAGACTGCCAGGTCCAGTCGCGAACCAGTTAGAAACCAGGTGGTGTATTGCCCCGACGTGCGTACCAGTGCGCAAGTCTCGGAGATACGAACGCCTGAAAAACACATGGTTCCTAACTGGCTCGCGATTGGACCTGGCAGCTTGTAGCTTTGGTCTAGAGTTCATCGTAGGTTGAGAAGAGGTTTATATTCATTAACGTTGTTGACACCGTAACGTAACATGACATCACGACTTCACACCGAGAGTTACGTTGCACCGTGACCTGCGCGATTTTCGCAACCCCGAGGCGTGTGCTCGGGATCACGACAATCGGCATCGCCAAACATTCGGATAACGGCTCGTGATCAATTAAAGATAACAATAGCTCAGCTCTAAGAATATCTAAAGCTGAGCCCATGCTCTATGCTTTGCTAACCCCAGCACATGACTATCATAAACACGGACAGTATATAATTAACGTCAAATATTTTGGCCCCGCTTGTTCTAAGTTCGAATTGAGGAGGGGAAAGCTGTTTCAGTTATTCTTTTTTTACGCGTCTACCACTGCACGGAGAAAAAAAAACTAATGAGTGTTTTTTGACACTATCAACGTCAGGCATTATATTTTAGCTGTATTTACTTAATCTATATAGTTGTTGGGCGTCCCACTTTACATGCACAAATCATTGAAGCATTCAAACATGATTTCGTTATTGCTCAACTGCCCCAGAAAGTTGTCCCCCAGAATAAAAAGTATTGAAGATGTGACTTATTAATATGACGTTACATAAAACTTCAAGTGTGTACGGAAGGGATGCATAAAAAGAGAGATACTAGTGGCCTCAGAAAACAGCCGAACATTGGCAGTCACTGTAAAAGCTCTGTTATACTCCATCGTTGAGCGAAGCGAACGTAGCATTGTGCAGAACGTGTGCCTTTTAAAGACAGGCGACCAGGAACTCGATATCTGCGACCAATTATTATCCATGTGCGCTGCGCTACGCCGCGTTTGCTATGCTCGACGTTGGAGTATAACAGCGCTTTTCTCAAGTTCTTCCCCAAGTTTCTATCACCTCTGTGTGTTCTTTAAACTTCACAGTTGAGTGCAAAATAAAAGCAATGGAGGATTTCTGTTAACAAGTGACATAAATATAATTGTCGAATTAGCAGCCCAAAACAGAGGAGGGAGGGGGAGGCGGTTTTAAATATATACTGGGTTGTTAAGGTTCCTCTGCCCCGTATCTTCAGTGCAGACCAGAACGCGTGGCCCCGGAAACTAATTGTTTGCGAAAACACTTCTGCCAGAAAGCTCGTTTTCGTCGAACCAGACACTCGATCCCCGTTCCTCACCACGATACACAAACAATATTATTTTTGTGCCATTCAAATACATGGCTTGCTCTCGGCGCGAACCTTCTGCAGCGTGCATTTTGCACCAACGGATGTGACTTTCTTGGAAAGAAAAAATCGCCATGACTACCAGTATATAGTACCATGACGTCACGTGCAAACCGTGTTAAACAGTTCAGCTTTCTTGTGAAATGCGATGATCGCAACACTTGCAATACATTTTCAAAGTGCATAGTTGTGCAGTATTCATAGCAGTATCGCGATGATACACGGCCGCCTAATTAGGGTGTACTAGAAGGGGAGGTGTGAAAATCGCGGCCATTTCCTGTGTGGTCCCTCCAGGCTTTGATGTCATCAGGGAAAAATTGGGCGCTGTACCCAAAGGCGCCGTAGAGTGCCTTCATTTGCCTGACGCTCCGCTGACAGGGTGGAGACACCCGCCATTTTGCGGCGAACTTTGCGATGCTCTCACCGGCGTCATATTGCGTCTATCTTTCCAGAACTTTTGCTAACCACAACGTTTTTGCACCTCGACTTTGTCACACACACACTACAGGACCCACACCCAATCTGGAGCTAATAGTGACCTCAGGCGCCATACTGTGGTGCTCCATTGGCTCCACTGGTGTCTCCACCTTGTCAGCGGAAGCGGCCGGCAGATGGAGGCACCCTACAGTCTTAGAAAAAAGGGTATCGATAGTCCTCCCTATGGGGGGGAACGGTCTTGTAACCTATGTTTCTTTAGAAAGGGAGAAACCTTCGTCCCTGAAGCAGAGGAGCGAATAGTTCCTCCGTCGCCTGCATCTTATTATTGCGGCCCTGAATCGAGCAAATCGAGCTCAATAAAGCTTAACGAGGACGCTACGTCTCTTGTACGGGACGAGAGGAGCAGCAAATAAAAGCGTAACACGAGCTTTCCGCGAATTGTATTTATTTCCGAAGCCAGATTCCCCCCGCAGGTACAAAAACTTGCGTTTTGAAAGCAGTTACTCAGTCTTCCCGTCGTCAGCACTGAGACAACCAAAACCCGGCTACTTCGCGCACTTTACGTCTTACCTTTGCTGCTCCTCGAGTCACAATTCCTTCGTCAACCGAACATCACGGAGGAATGGCAAACGCATCCGCGAAACCAAAAGCCGCGTTTAAAAGAACAAACTGGAAGCCGCTGTTTATCACGTAGCGTGAAAGAAGGTTAAATCGCTTACCACCAGATGGCAGGGTCAAGCAGAGTAATTGCAAGTAGCTAGGCTAGTTGGCGCTAGGTACCACCCCCTTCATGCTCTACAAAAAAAGATATTTTTATTTCCGCAGGCAGCCTTGCGCTTCTCCCTCTTCGGGAACCTGTACTGTACACACATGTACACACACATACTACAAGCATCAGGTGAACAAACATTGAGCGCATGCACATGCATGGCACTTACAAACATCAATACAACGACACACTAACCCGAACACTTCGCCGGAGCTCTGCGTTTCTGTCTTTTATACTGGTCGTTTTGAACGTACAGAATTCTTCGGAGACTGCGTAAGCAATAAAAAAATATTCCAAGTGTGTTGATTTTTTTTTTACAGCAATGTCATAACTCTGAGAGTATTTCGAATGGCTCAGGGGATGAATCTCTTATTAAAAATTAAACGCTCGATCATGCCGTAATTATTTGAAAGCCAATAAATCAAGCCGCTCCAATGCGGTTCGAAGCCATGAGTTTGTTTCCCCGCAGGGCACGTCGTAGCCTGCATTTCTATTGTAGTGTTTGTTTTTCTATCTGTGCTGTTCGCGCACGGCTGCAATTGCCGTCTTGAATTAGCCTCTGTAGGGCGGATATTCAACCAGCTGGAAATGAGGCTTCACGGGCAGAGAAATCGCTTTTCGATCAACTTGAATGCAGTCAAATCCGCGAATCGCGGCAGGTATTAAGTGTACAGGGCTACGCCGTGGCGACATGGAAAACTTCTAGCGCTCATCTCAGCGCGCCACTTGGAGGGCAGTTTCTCCAGGAACCGTAGTATATTTAAACAGCAAAATAAAGGGTAAAAAAGTCAAATTGGACGTTTGAGTGATTTATACAGCGTAAGGTTGGTCTGCCAGTAGGGGCGACACTGGTTTACACTGTAGATGAGCAATTTAGCCAGTGCAGTGCAACCGCTAGCCTGGGGTCTTTAACGTGCAACACACAGTAGTGATACACGACCGCACGCCGGTACGATGCTCATCCAGATCGAAACGGGCAGGGGTGGGGCTCGAACCCAGGATACCTGGGTTCTGCAGCGCGAGCTTTCGCTCCACGCGCGTCGAGCTGGGTGTGCGCTTCAGCCCACTCGGCCACCGATCTTTTAAGAGCACCAACAAACCCCGACGCGTTTTAGAAGTGGGACCGAGCTATCTGCAGGAAGGCAAGCCTCTCGACGAAAGCTCCGCCGTAAGCAAAAGGCATTTTGACGACAGGTGAGTACA